TCATGTTTCCATTGTGCAGTTCTGCTGTCATTCCTCTCTTTTGCCTTATGTACTCTCCCCTCCTTGTGCATCACAGCTCTTCACCTCTTGTCACTGGTAGTGATTAGCAGTCTGAGATCCACAGTGCACAATTGGCAACAATTCCTTGAACTCTTCCAAGACATCCATGCCTTTCTTCTGCCATGCTACAGCTCTGCACAACAGCTACATGGGCACTTGTATATTATTTGCTATGCTGGTTGTGTAGATCAGTGCTGCAGAGCCCTGCCAATTCAGATTTCAACAACAAATATAAGCACCTGTCACTCTATTTTCTGACCCAAGCTGAACGTGCAGGAATGTTGGTGCAGACTCTGCAGCAGCAGGTGTGTCTCTGCCATGTATGTCCATACAGCTTGATGGCATCCTTACATATGTGCTAGTCATGCTGTTCCATAGGTCTTTTATTATGGATGCCCCATGACCTGTGTGCCTGCCAAAGACCACACAGGCTTCCAGATGCAGAAACTCATCGTATCAGTGTAGGCATGGTCCATCAGGATATTTCTGAAATGGGTGAATTTACAAACAGTAGACAGTTCACATCCAGCTGTGGTTCTGGCGAGAACTAGCAAAGCTTTTTGTTTCCTGGAGCTGACCAGCTAATTGACACACACTCTTAGTTTCTGTCTTGTTTACGGCTTATTCAAACCAAGCTGCAGAAAAATAAAAATCTCACCTGCAGCTGAGAGTCTTCCTTAGGATTCATCACCAGTGCAGATTATTGTGGGAAAAAAAATCACAGATGTTTGTTTGGCAACAGCTCTAAGTCTAGAAAGCTTGAGCAGTTTCCCAGCAGGCAGGAAAGATTCCAAAACTTACTTGGAGCCGTGGTTACACTGCCCTGTCCAATACATTTGAGTAGAACAACCTGAATAAGATTAGTCCAGAAATGTTTCCAAGTTTCTTTCTATTTAAGGCGAGGAAATGTTTGGCTAGGGCTCAGTCGATCCTGACTGCAGTGACTAAGCACCTTAAGAAGTTCTCAGGAAAGCTAAGCATGCTTAGACTTCAAAGTCTGGATTGACTGACTTTCAAAAGCTTTAGTGCTGTTAGAGGCCAAGCAGGGATCTTGAGGTCGCTTCTGATGATCCATTTCTCATATATGCTGAGTATTGCAATAATTACCAAAAAATTTGCAGGGTGTGCAAATCCCCTGCAGCCTTCTCTGGACACAACCAGTAACGCTTTTGGGGCTTATGTACAAATTAATGACAAACACCATATATGGACCTTTCAGTTCATTACCTACCCACTTCTCTTGATTATTCCAACAAATTTTAGAATACACTATCATTGGGTGGGCTTTTACTCATTCTGGCTCACGTGGGACTGCAATCACTCCTTTCTTCTTCAAGGTAACACTGATGATATATCACCCAACAAAAACCACCAACCAACTCCCTCAAAAACCAACCAAGAAGGCTCATAAGCACAGTGATAACTGCACCCTACAGTCATCTGTGAAGTTATCGTGAATACCTTCAGGCAAAAGACCCAACAAGTCTGACCTACACTAACTGATGGTCTGTGGGCACAGATATGCAGAACATTTCATGCCCCATTGTTTCAGATACCTATTAGGACCAGTGGCTGTTCATGTGGTATCTGTAGAATATCAACCAAGAAATGAGCAAGTGATTCCCTCTCTCATTTTCTAGGGGCCTTAGATAACAAGATTAGCAAGAAATGACAGGCCAAGAAAACATAAGCCATGTTGATTTATTTGATGGCAGGGATTTCCACAGCACTGCTGGGGCCTAAGAAACTTGTGAACATTTAACACTGGCTCTGTCCCAGCTGGATTCTGTCACAGTTGAGTACAACAACGTTGCACACTAGTTGGGTCTCACTGCTTCTTGTCCAGCTGTGCAAGATACTGGGCTTTGGACTGGGGTATAAAACCGGCAAGTGATTTCTGACACTGGAGGCCGGAAGGTCTGAGTGGGCAGCATGAAGGAAGTTGAGCAGAATGGTCTTGTTTGTAAAACAGGATGTGGTTATTGTGTAAGTGCTGGAGGGCCCAAAGAAGCTCTCAAATACAGCACCTAAATTCTGAGAGATAAAGAGGGTATTTACTGAACTATAATATTAAAAGGCCTTTTACTGTTCCAACTGATGTCCCAGTGAACCCAACAAATTTTTTCACTAATTTGCTGGACAAAATTTTTTGAAACATTTTCACAGGAAGAGCTGCAGTCCCAGAGAACATGGATTCCTTGAATGGCATTAACCTGAAAGCACGAGGGAGAGGAATTAGTGTTGGTCCAGCCAAGTGTATATTGTATCACTTAACTCAATGTTTGCATGTATTGATACAAGGTTGCAATAATGAATGAGGGCCTCCTCTTAGGCACTAATATAAAATGAAAACAAATCCAACCTTTCCCCTAAAAACATACAGTTCAAATAAAGAATGCATTCATAGACCAAGTATTTAGAAAGTAAAAAAAAGAAAGAGACTGCAGTATGCAAAAAGAGAGCTTTTAATGTCTTTTAATTTGTCACCCAGTTTTGAGGGGGTTGTTGCTGTGATTAATATTCCTGTTAAAAAAATCAGGTTAGTTGTACGATCAAAGTTGTATCTAGGAGTGTTTGCAGAGCCTGGCCTAAAACATACTGAACAGAAGGTCTCAAAGGGACTATAACTTACATTCTTAAAGTTATACGTGTACCTGTCTTTAACAGCTTATATTTACCATTCAAACATGGCCAAGTTCTACCAGTTTCCTTCCCAGTTCAATGTGTTATAATAAGGATGTGTGAATAGATGGGAAAATAGACATTATTTCTGTAACTTATACACAGTTAGCTAAAATATGTTACAGATAATTATCATATCATTATCATATTCATCTCTTAAAATTAAGTTGATTTTCACATCAGATATTTACTGAACCTCATTTAAATTGACTTTTTTCTTTTTCCTAGGACTTTTGTCATCTTTGGAAGCATTCTTTCACATTTTACCAAGATGATTTTAGGAAATGTCCAACATTTCTGTCCCAGTAATGCAAGGAACAGCTCTGTAAGTTCACTTTGCAAGAATATGTGAACTGTCTTGGTTTCTTTCAAATGGTTGTACATCATATACCTGCTGGCAATACAGCTGTAAATTAACAAGAACTTACAGGTCTAAGAAGAGTTTGTGGGATTTTTTACTTCTGAGGTTATGAAGATGGCTGAATTGAAGCAATTCCACTGCATTCGGATTATGCCCATCCCTCAGTGCACTACGGCACTGGACACTGGGCTAACACAGCGTGCTTGGCCTCAGGCTGGAAACACCACCTGAAAGGACCATTTTCCAGCCTGCAGAGCCTTCTACTGCTAAGGCATTCATGCTGAGGCTAGGAAATGTGAGCCAGCGTCCTGATTCACATCTCTGCAAGTTTTCCCTCCAAAAGGGATTGATCAGTTAATTTTAGCTGAAAAGAAGTTCAATAACGAGTCGCAAATAATTATGACCTTCATGAATAAAGAAACATGACTAAGACGGACCACTGACTATCCCAAACTGCAAGCTCGCAGTAAAAGAAAAATAAAAGCAAATACAGAATACTCTACAACAGGGGCTATCAGAACGAAACGTTTGGCTCTGTGCCACCTGTTTAAATTGGTTTTGCAGCCCTAAAAATGAATGGAAGCACCTTCGTAACCGCGGCGCTCGCCTTGCGATGGCAGAACTGGCCGTGACTCCGCCGGGCGGTTTTGGGCAGCTTTTCCGCAGCCTCTGCCCAGCGGCACAGCGAGCGCTCCGGGCCGTGCCCGCGGAGCCAGCAGGGCGCTCGGGGTGCGCGGTACGGGGGGATCGCGCCGCTCCTCCGGGCTCGCCCGCAGCCCCGCCGCCGCTCCGCGCTGCCCCGCTCCGGCGGCCGCCCTGCCCAGCCCGGCCCCGCCGCGAGACCCGCCGGCACGGCTCCGCGCCAGCCCCGCCGCCCGGGACGGGGATCTCCCGCGGGACGCCACGAGCGGGGCCCGGCTCCGCCGCAGCCGCCGAGCGCCTCCAGCGCCGCGCCGGCGGCAGGGACGGGGCTGACAGCGCTGCCCGCGGCAGCCTCTGGCCGCCGCCACCTGTTACCTGCCGCCGCTCCGCCCCCCGGAGCACAGCGCTCGGCCCGGCCGCCCCGCCGCGCCCCGCACGCCGCCCCGGCCCCCGCACGGCGCGGGGGGAGCGGCTCCGCCACATCCGGGCGCCGCCGCTCTCAGCGCGCATGAGCGGCCGCCCCGCCGCTACCGGGCCGGGAGCCGCGGTGCCGCCGCCGCCGCTGCTCCTCCCCGGGGCGCTGCGCTCCGCGTTGTCAGGCAAGGGGGAGCGACCGAGAGGCGGGGGAGGCTCCCTCCGCGGCAGGAGGAGGAGGAGGATGATGATGGTTGTGGGGGCGGGCGGCGGCAGGCGCTGGCAGCAGCCGGGAGAAGCCCCGCTGGTGACTGGCTGGCGGCACACGCAGCTCTGAGGAGGAGGAGGAGGAGGCGGAGGGTGCCGAGCCGAGCCGCGGGGGGAGAGGCTGCGGCGGCGGGAGGGGACCGGCACACGCGCGCACGCACGCGGACGGGTGACAGCGGCGGGGGCCGTGCGGGGGGCGCGGAGCTCCGCGGGGCGGCGAGGCGAGGCGCGGCAGCCCGCACAGCCCCGGCGGCAGCGGGAGGGAGGGGCGGGGCCGGCTGGGCCCGGGGCGAGCCGCGTTCCCTGGCGGGCAGGGCGCGGGGCGGCCGCGGGCGGCGAGCGTGGGACCGGCGGTGGCGGCGCTCGGTGGGCTGACCGACTCCTGTTTGCTTGGCTCCAGTCTCCGTCTGCGAGCCCGCGGGCCCCGATGAGAAGCGCCGCTGCGCTGCCGGACTGACGCCTCGCCGCCCTCGCCGCGGACGAGGAGGAGCGCGGCGCCCCCGGCCGCGGCCGCCCCTGCACCGCCCTCCCGGCGGGGGCTCGTCTGCCGCCTGCGGGGCGGGCGGCGCGGCCGTGACAGCGCGGCGGCGGCGGGGCCGGGGCAGCGGGAGCGCCGCCGCCGAGGACCATGAGGAAATTTAACATCAGGAAGGTGCTGGACGGCCTGACGGCGGTCTCTGCCGTCGCCTCGGCGTCGTCCGCCGCGCAGCAGCAGCAGGCGGGGAACCGGGAGACCGAGATCCAGGAGACGCTCCAGTCCGAGCACTTCCAGCTCTGCAAGGTGAATGAATGCTGCAGCCCCGAGCCGGCGGGCGGCCGGGGAAGGGGGCGCGCCGCCGCGATGGGCGCTGCGGGCTTTGCTCCTCCGTGCCGACCTCGCCGAGCCTGCCCGCCGTTCCTGTTTACTTGTTTGGATTGATTATTTTCGGGGGCGAAGACGGGAAGAGAGCGGTGGGTGTAGCTGTACAGGTCTTGCTGGATTTCTTTAGTCATCTTTCTTGGAGAGTTTCGGGGTTTGTCGTCGTCTAGGCTCTTCCATGCGAGTAATCCTGACAGTGTTCACTAGGGTTTCGTAGAAAGAGTTGGATGGATGGGGAAGGAGTGATACTTAGCTGTGGTGCAGATCTGATCATCGTGGCGTTTGAGTAGAAGCTTCTGCTAACGGGCCCGAAGGACAGGGACTCTGTCCCTCTGCATTATTTGGAAATCATTTATCCAGTTCCTTTATGCCTGAAAAAGGCTTTCGATGCTTGTGGTGGTGATGGTTTCACTGCAGTGTGTTGCCAAGTTGGTGATGCTGCTATTGCAAATCCTATCTAGAAACGAAGTTCCCGTTTATTTATTTGCTTGTGTGTGGTAGGATAACTGCAGCTTGTGTCTGCACGGTTCAGAAAATGATGCAGCAAATTAACCAGCAGCTGTATCAAGAGGAATAAAAGCTGATTGGAATATCAATAGTCATTTTTATCTTTGCGGTGCACTCATGGCCTAACTTGACATGGATGAGCTTGTTTGTGGACTCTCCTCGGTTTTTTGTGTATTGCAGGCATTTCTGCTGCCTTCAGGAGTTGGTCATGAAGAATGTGGAGAAGGGCAGAGCTGTTACCAGTTAGACTTTATTCAGTTGTGAAATACAGAAAGTTGTGGGATATGCCTGCAACTTCAGTGAAGTACAAGGAGTATATCAGGAGCTTGCTGTGCATTTATGAGGTCATGAAACACCTCTGCTTTAAACTAAAGCCTTAGAAATGGAAAAGTTGGCATTTGTATGGCTTAGGATGTGTACGTTTAGAGTGGAAGTAAGAGTAGGTGACACTTGTATTATGTTTTCAGTTCTGATTAATTGCAGCCTGAGAAGTTTTAATGGAGTTATTGCTTGATCAATTACCAACTTAATCTTGGCTAACCAAAAAAGCTAAATGTGCCAATAGCTCCATATTAACAAAGAATCCCATGGTTGAGGGGGTTTGACTTTGTTCAATGAAGTATTTGTTTATTTGGTCAATTCTGGGGCTGCTTTTTCTATTTGAGGGAAGTAGAGGATGAGAGATTGATTCTGTCAAGCTCAAGTTGCTATTTTTTTTTCTTTACTGAGCTGAGAGAGGTTGCACTGTCATGTTGGGTCTGTTGGATTGAAATTGAAGTGATTCTCAGAAAAGCAAGTCAAGTAGTTTATAATAGTTCTGATGATAAGTCTGGCTTTGTTGTCAAACTTGCTAGGAACATCTCAGATTTTAATAGTTTAATGTCTTTGTTAGAGCTGAAAATAAGATTACTCAGGGAATGAGGTCGATGAGAAAATGAAATGCTGAGTTGATACAGTCTTTATACAGAAGAAATGTAAGATTCAAATTAAGTTTTAGAAAGTCTGACTGTCTCTTGATGCTTGAAGATGAATGAGTAATTATGACTATAAAATCTTTTGTGACTGTTTCGTGTAAGGCAGGTGATTTTCTCAGTCTGTGATTAAATTGCTTTGTAGTTCCTTTTTGAATTGTGATTAACATTGAATCCTCTTCTCTAACGTACAGTCTTGATTCTGTTTGTTTTTGGTATCCTGCTTGGCCCGTTGTTACTGTGCTGCTCTGACTTGTCAGACTGTACGCCACGGTTTCCCCTACCAACCTTCAGCCTTGGCATTTGATCCGGTTCAGAAAATACTGGCCATTGGGACTCAGACTGGAGCACTAAGGCTGTATCCTTTTGTGTTCTGAAGTGGATTTAGTGCACCTCACGCAGGTGATGTCTTGATTCAGCTGCTGGAGCCATTCAGAAGTCTGGTGGGAGCCAGGTATGCAGGAGGGGAGTAAAGCAGCAAGCTCTCTTTGCTGTTGGTGGGTGGCTTGGTTGTTCTTTGTGTCAGTTTAAGTTGTGTAAATCATGTGAGGTACGGCTGCTCAGTTGCCATTATCTCAAGGTAATAGATAAATTTTGTAGAGGGTTACTAGGGTGCTGACAATTTACAGCAGCTGACTGCAAATCTAAAGAGAGACGTGGGCTGAGCTCTGTTGTGTTGTTCTGCTCTATCCTCTGGGGTTGAAACATTCTGTGCTGCTTGGTGAGGTGATGTTTGTTTGGTTGGGGTTTTTTTGGGTGGTGGGCTTGTTCTTAAGATAAACTTTGTAATGCTCTAGTGACCTGCTACTACTTCTGTGTTGCCAAATGAGGGTTTCAAGCGGGGGCAGTAAAAGGTGCAGGGATTGTGTCTTGCTTAGAGCTTCCGAGTGACAGGGAGAAGCGGAATGAATTTGTGAAGTAAAGCACTAGTAACCCTGCTTCTTTTTGTTCACTAAAAAGTGAACTACCCATATGTTTATAGCCATATGGTACCACAGCCATATGCTACTATCCAAGCCATGTAACAACATATGTGTTTAAACTTTTATTTTTAAAAGAAGTGTCCTGTAGAGTCTTTAATCCACGCTGCTGTTGTCAGAACCTTTACTTGTCAGCATAAGAGAATGAATGGAATTCTTTGTTTTCCTGAAATTGACTTAATTGTAAACATTATGGGTAAGGCTTAGGCCATCTTGCTAGAGAAATTGACTTAATCCTCTTTAAATTGTAGGTAAACCTAACAATTTCCTTTGGTGTTTATATTAGTCTCCAAGTAGACCTTTTTTGTTTCTTTCTGGTATATCACTACCCTGTCTATAAGGTTAATTGCCATAAGGGGGTTGATTATTAAAAGTTGAAAAACTAGAACTGAAAAACTAGATTTCTATTATGACCTCTCCAGATTTCTTAACTCAAGAGCATGAGGAATAGGGGTAATAATGCAATGTTCTCAATGCTATATTTGAAACTTAATTTAATAAATTTTTTTAGGAGGTTATAAAGTTGACTTAAATGAAGAGTGAACTGTGTGTGGGTAGTGTTAATTACTCTCATATTGGTAGAATAGATGAGAAAGCAAAAAGAGACATAGAAGTTAGAACCTGGTTTGGAGGCAAAAAAGAGATGAAGATGTACCTGTTTAGAGCTTACTCACCTGTAATTTTGGGCAACATGATGTTGCAGTTTGGGTAATGATGACTCAACAAAACCTGCTTCTGGGCACTCATCCATGGCTACACACACCTGTGAATTCTTGGAGTAGGAATTGCTTTCTAAATAATTGAGAGACGTATTGCAAGACTGTTTGGGAAGAAAGCATTACTGTGAGAAAATGACGGAAAATGTGTTTTCTAAAGGAGGGGAAGAAGTTTCATGCAGAGGCTGAAATGTTAGTGCTCCTCTAACTTGATGAAGATAAATGTGCTTCTTAGTACTTTGATACAGCTCTTGATTCTTGGAAGAGCTGGTTAAAAGCCCTCAGCTGACAGAGTTGCCCTGTAACCAGACAGCACTGCAGGATTTGCATCTCCTGTGATTACCTCCTCATTGTGATGGAGGAATGCAGGCAGAAGGAATAGACTCAGACATATTCCCAATGTAAAAGCAGCTTCTTGCTTTCTGCTGGTTTGAGAAGAATGGGTCAGAGTGAGGCTTGCAAGAAGTGCTTATTTCATTCTATTGCTCAAAGATAGAGCCAACCCTCAGGATGCTCTGCTGCTAAGGTTTTTATGAATAATAAATTATGTGCAAGGGTTCATTAAAGCGGGATCCACTTACTCTTTAAACCTGCAAAAGTGGTTTTAATTGAAATGAGGTGTGGACTAGAAAGACTGAGTGTCAGTAAAATGTTATTCATTGAAAAATCATAAAAGTGCAATAGAAGGCAGTCCTAATTTTCTTCTGTGTTCATGTTGTGAGAGTATAGAAGTAAAGGAATGGTAATGCTTCTTTCATTGCCTACCTGCAAATGGGAGGTGGGTATTAGTGTTTTCCTTATGTCTTCAAGTGTAGGTACATCTTTTAATGCTTTCTTTTGCTAGTAGTCTGAGGAATGGGGAAACAAGTTTAGGGGTTTTTTTGGAAAGGGTATTAAAAGCAAAATATTCTTAAATCAAGGAGCAAGAACCTGTTTGAGATGCCATTAATATATGAGGAAAATAATGTTACACTCCTGATTTGGCTTTGGACTATTTATCAGACTCTTTCCAGAGGTTCTCTGTATTTGATCAGTCTTCAAATTGGGTGTTTTAAATTCCGAACCAGTATTGTTCAGAACATGTTAATGTGAGGAGTTTTCTAAATCACACTCTTATTCTTCTTTATGAGGCCTCTGTAACCACTACTGGAAGAACAGAGTGACTTCTTATACACAAGTGCTAAATGTTTGCAGTACTGTTAAAATTATTTGTAAAAATAGAACTGAAGCTTTTTCTGAAGAATCAAAATCTGTGGTTACAAGTATACTGCCAGTTAAATGATGTTGTCTTTTTTATGGATAAATATACTGAACATCAACACTGTATTGAATTCTCTAAATCCACAAATTGTAAAAATGAAAGTGCCTAAATTATGAGTGTCATGTTGCACTAATGGGATTAGAAGTGGAACTGCTACTCTGTTAATATTTTTTGCCTCTAGGCTGGATAGGTGTAGTTGGTAACATAGTATGCCAGAGGGGCAACTTTGCCATTCTACGCCTCTAAGCAGCAGTTGGTTGTAGATCGTGCAATTTTAGGTCCATAAAAATACTAGGAAGAGACTGCTTTTAAAATGTAAAACTTTAACCTTATGAGTCATGAAATTTAGTTTGGGATTATTCATGGATGTAATTTGAACAGTATATCCCTTGCATTCATTTTAAAAAACTTGATTAGTTACTAAGAAGCATTTCTAACTCTTGTTTAGCTAGGAGATTTAAAACAGAGATGTTTGGAGGCAGACAGATCCTTAAATAGAGAAGCTTTTCCCCACCCCAAAAAGAACAGTTTTAGCTATTAATAACAAAAGTTGTGTTCTGTTCTCACCTATGAACATCAACCAGCTTACTTTACTGTGTATAAGGAAAAGTTATAAAGTGAGTATCTTAGTAGAGTAGAAACCTTGAGCAGCCTGATGTGACCCTCTTCCTGCCACTAGGATCTGTTAAAAACAGTTAAGCTGTTGGACTCTGTTTTTGCTGTTGCAAGGGAAATTGAGGGATGAGGTAGACACATGGGCAGAAGCACTGTGCTGAGTGACATGAAATCTCAAATGGTTCCTCACGAGTAGTGGCACTCACCTGGACATGCTGGTCCAGTTTTTCCTCTGAGTTTGTGGTGTGGCTGGAGGATGCTTGTTCCAGCTGTTTGAGGTGTGCGAGTCTTGGCTGGTGGCCTGCTTCCTGTTGGCAATTCTGCCTCAGACTCCCTCTCCTCTGTGCTGGATTTTTTGGATGTGATCCCCACAGGGAGCACTTATACTCACTATTGATTTCAACTGCTATGGTCTGTACAAGCTGCTGGTGGCCTCTGTTGTCACTGCAGGTCAGCATCTTTGGTTTTCTCCATACTTGGAGGGGTTTAGCTGCTGTTACCAGGGTGGCTTTCACCTCTTGATTTACTGTCACAACATGTGAGATATCAAGTAGTTAAAAATTCATCTGTTCTTTGCTTCTTTTCTGTGCATACCTGAACCATTACAGTAGGACGTACAATCCTTGGTCTTAAGAAAGTTTTGTGCATAATTGGCTGTGCTTTGTTTTCCCAGCAGGTATCAAAACCTTCTAATGAGCTAGAGTTCAGTTTATCTGCTCAAGGTTTAACTTGGTGTAATCAGTTAGACTTTACCCCGTGACGTCCTGACAGTGCTCAGTGCCATAAGTAAGAGCCCTGCTCCTGTGCTCTTCATTGCTTTTGCTCTTCTATTCAGAAGGCCCTCTGGAAGCCCAATGTGATCTGAGCAGGGGGGTGTGTAAACTCTGAAGAGGCTAGAGGAAGATGTAATGAGCTTTTTCAGGATTTTTTTTTGCCTTTAAGATGGTGTTTCCTCAGAAGTTTAAAGTCCAGGGCCCTGTACAATTAATAATAATGGTCAGCTGAGCTTTTTTATTTGCTTTTATAAGGTAAAATAATCTTCGAAGCTAAAGCAGAAATATTGAAGGAATCCTCCTTGTCCCTGCTGTTAAACTGCTCCATCTTAAACAAGTTTCTTCATTTTTCTGCACTTAAATTTTTCTATAGCAAAACTAGGACAGTATATACATCAAATTAGATGTTTTGTGATAATCTCCCAACATAAATACAATATCTGCTGGTGTTTTGTGCCTTAAAAATATGCATTTGTAGCATGAAGTTCAGCCTCTTGATAGAATGAGTTCTAGAAAGGAAGACCATTTTCGCTAGAAATAATTGAAAATGAAGGGAATACCTGTAAGAGTAATTGTTGTACCTTCCACACACTCTAAATTGTGCTTCTGACTCTTTATGCCCAAACAGAATAGGTTATTTAATTAAAGTTTGGGGGTTTTTTTTCCCTCTTGCAAACCAAGTTCACAGGAAGGAGAAAAAATAGATTGTTCATCATTCCATCATTAAAACCCTGAAGATTCCAATTGCCCTGAATACCAGTATCTGTTAATTTCCCCACAGTCTTTTCAGCACTAAAAGATGAGTTATACAAGCAAATGGCTGAAGTTTTTATGTGTTTGGAGTGTATAAAGCTTGTTTTCTATGATTTCCATTCTCCAGCCTTTTTGAGAACTCCCTTTTTTTTTTTTTTTTTTCTTAATCAAAATAGCTCAAAGCCCTGGGTATGTGGTTCCATGCAGTCAGTTTCTGATGAAGTGCTTGTTGCAGCATCTGGATAGCTTTGCTGTAGATA